TGGACAACCAGGCAATCAAATCATCTCAATTGTAACGTCCAAGTTGCAATATTTCAAAATATTGATTAAACTTTAAAGGTTCTGGCGCTCTATATAAAGATTTATCACAGAATATGGAAGACATTAACGCGAATATAAACGAAATAGAAGAACAGGGAGAAGGCGAACTTCATCATATTCAAGAAGAACAGGGCGAAAACGATCAGTTTCAACTTCAAGAAGAACAGGGCGAAAGTGATCATACAGCTGACCAAACTATGATTCAACCTATATGCGACTCGCGTTATGCAATTGGAACAGTGAGGGTAAATATTTAAAAGGCTATACTCTATGCGCGTATTCACGGGTATCACATTTGCTCTATAAATTTATTGTAGTGCGTCGCGTCGAGTATATAGGTGTGAATTTCTAAAAGAATCCCTTAGTTCATATCGAATGCCTTTCATATTTTTCTTTTCTCGAGTAGTTCCTCAAAAAATCCGTTTTTACATTCATGTTAAAGGATTAGTATAACGTTAATTTTATCACAAATTACATCTTACCGTGTATCTATAACTGAACAGACAACGGTTCAATGTTATCTATTTGTTTTACGCAGCTAATTCAATGCAGGTTTTCCTTTCAAAACCTTAAACGTTAAACTCTGAGCGCACCTTTTAATCCTTTAAAACCAGTCATTAATCAATCATCGTGAGGCTTCTATATGTCTTGGATATTCTTGCAATGCCAAATTTCCAAGTATACAAATCTAAATGAACAGAAAACCATGATGCATTCAGCACTCAGATTGGTTTATGGTTTTGGAAGGACAACGTTAATTGAATCAGCTCTGGAATAAAATTGAAAAATTCCTAAATTAACCAGGCAAACAGTTTTTGTTTTTCCTATAACACTTGGAAAATTGTTAAAGTCAAAATTTTGCGAAGATCACGCCTACATGATCTATAGAATTGAAGAAATGCCATTGGCTAGCTTAAGACACGTGCTAAAATGTGATTGGATGACAAAATAAACAAGCGATGACTGATCAAAATTCGTTAAAATATTCTGTGACGTCATTCCGTGCTTCTGTCCTCTTATAGATCATGGCTCTCGACTGCTCTCGACCAACAAAATTGCTTAATTTCTTAACGTTATTATACATTATTAAATAGCATTAATATATCATGTATAACTTATCTATACGTAATAGAATCCAAACTGTTTATATCTATTTTTAGATTGTATTCTTTCTTTTGCTCATCGTATTCCGACCGATGGCACTCGTATTTTTTTCCTATTATGACACAAAGTGTATAACCTCTGACCAAACTTCCGTTCTTGATTGCGATCAAGAAGGAATTCTGCCGCACCCAGAGTCATGGATCTTCGTGTGGATATTTCTGTCAAGTATAACATCATTGCTCCATTTTCTTATATACATTATTTTCCACTTTCGCCCGGGCAGAAGCGAATTTCTTGCTTTCAAATTTGCCAATGCCAAAAGGTGTTTCAGAAATGGCTCGTTTGTATCTTTCGTGGTATTAGCCATACTAACAATAATATTTTACATTATACGAACTGCGAAGGCGGTCTCATCACTGGCGATTGCGACGTCAGTTACTTTGTTTCTTTGGCCTTGTGCAATGCTTTTGGTAGTCTGGTGTTTTAATTATACTCCGCGTGTACGTTGGATTTCTCAAGCGGAAACTATTTGGGACAAGCTATTTAAAAACATCCACTTCTTCTTTTATTGGATTTCGCTTGTTCTTTATTTCTTTGAAACACTTTTGAAACTCATGGCTGTCATGCTAGATGTGGCATATAAAATTGCACCACAGATAGAAAGTAAATATCACAGTAAAGCATACAGTGGGTTCCTCCTCATGCTCATGGGTTTCAGATTTGCATTTCATTCAAGGCTCGTTTCCTTTTTTTGGCAAAAGATATTTCATGGTGACAAATGCATAATATCTGGGCCAAGTGCAAAATTGAACGATGCACAAGAAAATGATCAAGACAGGTTCAACTGAAAACTTTGTTAATAGTGTACATATATAATATATAAATTATAAATATGACGTCTATACTATATATATAAATTATAGATATGACATTTTATCACTGAACAAAATCTCTTCTGCACATATCTTATGAATGGATAAATTGGTTATCATTGCACCTTATATAAATCCCTTAGTTCATGTGTGGTTTCGACTTTCGAACCACGGACTGTAGATGAACCTTTAGTAACTTTTCGCGACTTACTATTCTCACAGGCAATTACTTCAGCCAGGGTGTTGGGAACTGATCGAAGAGATAAAGCAATTTCAAAATTATTATGTAATAGCATAGTTTAATGATATGATGCTTTAAAGATGGTTATGCATCTATATAGCTAAGGTACATTAGTGACGACGTGCTGGTAAAATAAGGATAGATGCGAGGGACTGAAATAAGCAAATAAAGGCCTATTTCGTGCCCATACAGGGATTTAGCCGGCTTCAGGGCATTTTCCAGTTAACTCTGTTTAGACTAGAACGATAACTTGCTATTTTCGACCGCCATCTGGGGTTTGAAGCGTTGCATGTGTTAGTATTAAGAGTATAAGGTTTATTATAAACAGTGATTGTACTTTCAATAATGATCAATTTGGTCAAAGCTTATCCCCGAACGCTGCGAGGGTACTAATTCCGCTCGGAGATTAGGAATTACACCCGGAACCCGGGAGAACATAGCGGAATCCAAAGTTGTCCAAATTCTATGTCATGGACGGTCGACGTTGGGTGATTTTGTAAGTTATGCGCATGCGCGAGTAACGACTGGTAATTAACAAACGTTCCGATTGGCTAAGACAGAAAGTTTGTATTTCAATGAGAACGTCGGCAATTTAACTGTCATTTGGTAAACCTTTTTGTAAAAGCCTTTCATAAACTTTTCGCAAAATAAAACGAAAAAAACAAGATATATTAAGCATGACAGATAGCAAAAAAGCGGTGTAACTGAGAAATAATTCATAATCTACCAGCTTATAAGTGTTTTCAAAAGGAACTTGTTTACTTTGTTTATTTCGTATTTGTTTCGCGGTAAGGATGAACAATATTTGTATAATTTTCAGCTTTGTATGCCGTTTATTTGTTTAATTTTCAGCTTTGTATAATTATCAGCTTTTTATCCAAATCATGCCACATGTAATATTTCAAATAATGATTTAATCATCGCTATTTTCTGCGCGCTGCCCGTAACATCTGACAATATACACATTGTTATTGTTATCCACAGCAAATCCCTTTATGTGATACTCTCTATCAATGCCTTCGTTTGGGTCAGTTGAGATCACCTTGCTCTCCCCTTCTTGGAAATCACCATAACATCAGACGATCTTGCAGTGACTAGGCCATATGTGCTCATTGAGTGACAGTTCGTTTCGTGGTTGCATTACTTCACGACCCCAGGACTTTCGGGACGATACTTCTTGCCAGTGTAAAATCGGATTAAAACTTCATCGCCTTGATGATGGTACGTTTTCGGCAGAATTTAAAATTGAATTAGTACAGCCGTACAGGACATAGTTGATCATCATAACATCAACAGATCTCACAGTGTCCATTCGTTCCGCCCGATTTAATCTCGACTTGATTGAGATACAGGACAGACACCCTGTGATAGCAGACGCAGGGTTTCAAGACATTCAAATATCGGAGAAGCGACTCAAAGTTTTGCGGCGAAAATTCTGTCTTTGATAATCAAGGCTTCGTTACAGTAAGCATGGGTTGCCGTCTTGCGCGCGTCTTTGAATCTTTTCTTAGCTGTTTCGTACTCCTTATCGTATTTGAATTTTAACTTTTGACGTCGTTAGAAAGTTCAAATGCGTCTTTTAAGATGGCAGACCGCTCGACAGCATTCCACATGCTGGATGTTTTACCATCGTTTTCATCGTCGTTTGATATATTAGGCGCGACATTAATTAAACAACGCCTGAACTTAAGAAAACGGTACCTACTTAGGAAGTCCTTTTGTCCAAGACCGTCAAGTTGAATTTGATGTCATTTATCCCCGTACGGCAATCTCTCGTATTTTGCCGTTTTTCAGGCCGTTCGCAGTTTTTTTCCCGTGCTTTATTGCACAGCAATGTTGATTTATATGTTTTTGAGCGCAAATAACAATACAATATTGGTTTCGAAGGCACAGTGCTGTTTGTTTTGATTGTTCTTTATCTTTTATATATCGAAAATTTGATAGGACCCGGATTGACGTCATCACGTCGTTCGTTTACTTGTTCACAGTTTGGTAACGCCCAACATGCAGTGACATTTGTTCAAACATTTGGCAAAATAAGTGAACAAAGTGCCTCGTCAGATTTCCGGTTGTCGTCTAGATCGGAAGTGAAATAATTACAATTTTCATTCTGATCTATGATAAAATTTGGCACCGATGAAGTATTCGAAGAATTTAAACTCTCGTGACATTATATGAACGGGGAATCAATTAACGGTGATAAGGGTGAAAGATATCTAATCAGAACCTGTTATCATGACCACTATATACATATCAAGGATTACGATTTATTTTCCGGTATAAATTGAAAAATATGCCAGACTGAAAGAAAGTATATTATCATATTTTTTTTTAAATTTAAATGATACAAAATGTGTTTAAACCCCTTAAGGCATATATACAGTTGAACTTCCTGGGCATAAACAAGTTTTTAAAGCCCATTGTCTATAACATTCACTTTTTTATTCGGAATATGTAAAGCTTCGGTGTTACTCAAGCTGACAGTTTTAATCTAGCCTAATGTGGGCTAACTGCTGCGTCAAAATGGAAGTTCGTACACTATACATACAGGATACGGACGCGTTTGACTGTTTGGAAAGAAAACTGTCATTTTTTGAAACCGCGTAGCTAAAATTTTTGCCGCTCTCCATCGCATTGTGTGTGAAGAAGCTTTCACTGCAAAACATCACTGCAAAGACACTATTCTGATAAGCTAAAAATGAAATGATTCATACCATTTTAAATTACTTTCTCAGGTCAAGAATCTGATATAGCTGCGGCAATTTTATAACAGGTTTATTTTACCTGGAGAAGGATAGTACTTCATATTTTTAAGAGGCATGTGACAATGTGAAGCGGAATTGAAGTGCTTTTAAACATACCTATATACATGTATAAAACAAATCAAAGTTTCAAAAACTATAGTTTTTCAAAATATAAACAATGTTTTCTACATTACCCTTTTTATTACACAAGAATTTATAGGTTTATATGTAAATTACTCTTTTCGGCTCAATAACAGTTATTGGAACACCTGGTTTAGATATGATGTTAGGGCGAGATCTCCCTGCATTCCTTTTACTAAAAAAGGTAGAGGTCTCTAGGTCTCCGCCCGAGCCTGGATAGCAGAGAATGTAATAGGATTCCTTATTAATATCTAGTGACAAAACAACTATTTTACCAAGGTCATGATGAAATGCAAGACCAACAACCTTGTGACCTTCTGGGAGTTTCACGATTGACTTTAAATTCCCACCGTTTGTATATATGTCAATACTCCGGTTTTTTGATGAAGATATCACGATATCATTATTGTTGGAAATGGTCAAGCTAGCCCTGAGTACGCTGTCTGAGTCTCGTTTGAACTTGTGTATCAAATGTCCGGTGTTGTCACATACGTAGACAAAGGGATCATCGTTCTTTATCATGACGATATCATTGTTATTGTTTAGGGCTATATTCACCCCAAAACCAGTCACCTTAAGAAAGTCCAAGGTGTACTGGTGCTTTACATTACACGTTTCATCTAAAACATGCAACACGTAAAATTTCAAGTCGTCTGCATTCTCCGCGGGTTTCTCGTGGCATCTGACAATATACACATTGTTATTGTTATCCACAGCAAGTCCTTGTATGTGATACTCGCTAACATTGCCTCCTTTTGGGTTAGTTAAGGTCACCATGCTTTCGCCCCTCTTCGAAATCAACTTAAGATCATCAGTGGATCTTGCACTAACTGCAACAATATCGCCAGAAATTTTCAAAGCAGAACGACTAGGCCATATGTGCTCTTCGAGTAACAGTTCGTTTCGCGGTTGCATTACTTCACGACCCCACAACTTTCCTGACGAGACTTCTTGCCAGTGTAAAATCGGATTAAAACTGCGGTCGGCAAGCTTAATTTCTATCGGCCAAATCGCTTTGACTGTACGCTTTCGGCAAAACTTAAAATTGAATTGGTACATGACATAGTTGATCATCATAACAGATCTCACAGTGTCCATTCGTTCCGCCCGGTTTAACCGCGACTTGATTCCACCGTTAAGATACACCGAGAATATCTCACGGATTGCTGGTAAGCTGTGCAGATCGTGGAGAAAGGACAGACACCCTGTGATAGCAGAATTGGGAGTTTCAAGACATTCCAATACCTCAGAAGCGACTCGAAGTTTAGCGGCGAAAATTCTGTCCTTGATACTCAAAGCTTCGTTACAGAAAGCATGGGTTGCCGTCTTGCGCGCGTCTTCGAATCTTTTCTTAGCAGTTTCATACTCATTGTCCGATTTGAATTTCAACTTTTGTACTTCGTTCGAAAGTTCAAACGCGTCGTTTAAGATGGTAGACCGCTCGACAGCATTCGACATGCTGGATGCATTAACACCATTTTCTTCGTCGTTTGATATATCAAGTGCAACATTAAGTAAATCAACGCCTTCCTTAAGAAAACGGTAGCTACTTAGTAAGTCCTTTCGCCCAAGACCGTCAAGTTTGAATTTGATATCGTTTAACTCTCGTACGACAATTTCTCGTATTTTGACGTCCGTTATATCTCCGTCTTTTAGCCTGTTCGCAGTTTTATCCCGTGCTTTATTGTACAGCAATCCCACAGTAGAGCTCAGGATACTCGTTACTACGAACGACATGTTAATGTGTAAGCCAATATCCGTCCATGCAATATGTAGTTTTAACGGCACAGAGTTGTATAAGCAGACGTTATACGGTTTGTTTAATTGTTTTATTTGTCCCTTCCCTATATTGACCATTTGATAGGACCGGAACGACGTCATTAGTTTACTTGTTCACAGTCACTTTACTAATTAAATTTCCACTCAAGGTCGTAGAGAATAAACACTTGAACTATAGGTCATAGGTGGTCACAGCAAGCACCGTACATTTTTGCCGTATTCTAACGAGATGAAATATTCTAACTTTCGTGATATGATGAATGTGGAATCAACAGTGATTGAAAACGATCTAACTACGTGATGTCGATATCGCGGCCGGGAATCACATGTCATTATAAATTGAACAATATCCTGACTTAAATCAATATAAGTATTATCACATTATATTTTAATGATAAAACGATACGAAATGTGTTCCCATTTGTATTGTACACGATTTCCACCCTCCTTTGTGTTGGTTCTACGGTTAGACTTCCTGGGCATAAATAAGTTTTTGAAACTCATGTTATCACCCTCACCACGCTTGCGCGCTATTGAGAAACAATAAATGTTCTGAGTCAGCCAAAACACATTTATGCCCGCGAACATCAACTGTATAACTATTAAGTCGCTGTCTTTCTAATTCCCATTGGCAGTGTTTGTAAAATTCCTCTATTTTGGGCATGTGACTCAAACCTACAGTTTTAATGCATGTATACAGCAAATGTGATGCCATATTAACACCCGTCTACCTTTGTTAACTGAAAAATTGTGACATTGGCAATGATTGATTGTGAATACGAACGTTTCGATCACTTTAACGTTTTGAACTATATGTTTCGGCAAAATCTCTAGTCTTTTACAACTGCACTTCTATTTGCCATTCGTCTTTAATATCCATATCGTCTGTAAGTCTTTTGTGTATTTTCCCACCGCTTTATGCATGATGGTGTTTGGCAAAAAAAAGGAATCAAAGCCAATATTATAAACATAACAAACATTTCGAGAGTTTGACGTCATATTGAGTGGGACACTTGGCGAAAACAGCGCAGCGCTAATTCCGTTGCGAAGAATTCGCCGGGTGTGCGGTGTCAATTTTTGAGCGCAAACGCTCCTGTGCCAATAGCGCTCAATATCAAGTGTTTGATATTTTTTTCCGAGCACTTTTCGTACGAATAATTAGCCTAATGTGCGGACACCTAAATTAAAACCCGTTTACACTTATAATATTTGCTCCGATTTAAAGTCCGATTTTCTTCTTTTGATAGATGTTAACGAGTGAATTATTTGCGGATAGTTAAATAGGACTGGAGCTTGTAAACATCGGAGCCTTCATAACTTATACTCGTTCACATCTATCAAAAGAAGAAAATCGCATCCAAAATCGCAAATGTAATTAAACGGGCCTTTAGAGGTGCCTAAGTCGCGGGACTGTGAAACTATAAATTGCAATGCAATGTGGGAAACATGTAGGAGAAATTAACCTCATCTTACATAGATTGAAAACTGTGTGACTTAATCACCTCTAAGATTTATTGTATAAACACTGATTTCCATCTTCCTTAACGCGTTCACCAGCTGTTGATTTTTGGAACCTAATTGAGTGCTTGGAATATATGGATAGAATTTGCAATAAATGCACAGACAGTTTTCGCCGTTTATTTGTGGATTGTTGCATATAGAGTATAGTTTTAAATTTCACTGAACTATATAGAAAGGATTAGCAACTCAGAATCGCGGTGTTTTTTATAGCTAAATATGATTTAAACACCCAAAATGCTGTTAGGTGATTCAAACAACCTACTTGTGACAGTCAAAAGCGTTGTGTAATTATAACTTCACCAGGTCGATTTGTCTTATAAAACCAGACTTATAGAAAAGCATAAAATTGCGCAATCATTATGAGCTAACATATTAAAAATCAAGCCGATGCAGTAATAACAAACTAGCGTGGACTCTACTCTATAACCCTAGCAATGCAAGTCTATTCTCACAAAATCATTTTTGTCTTGTTTTAACTCGCTGATTCCCTCTGTCTCAGCACTCGACCTTCGTACATCGACATTTCTGGCAATGTTAAACAAGTTCCGGTCTTCCGGATTATTTTTTGTATGCCGTTTGCTTATACACTAGATTTTTCTTTATATATACACACAAAGTTCTTTGCGCGATAGTTATTGACAAAGATTTCTTTATGCTGCACAGCTATATAGTCAATATTATTTCATTTTCTCGGTAATGGACCGGACATTGTGAAACATAATACGTGGGCTTCAGAGAAAGGAACAACATACCATGATAGACTATGACACGACATAATATTCAGACCTCCAATATACCTATGACATCATAGCCCTATCCGATCAATATATAGCGATAACAAACAACGACATATAACTGATCAACATATCTCTTATAACTGAGATTTAAGACTATTGTATGAACATGTCTTTCATAGTCACGAGTATCTTAAGTTCAACTGTGGGTTTGGTGTGCAAAAAGATGAGGGACAATACTGCTGATAGACTCAAAGACGGAGATGTAACGGACGTTAAAATACGAGAGATTGTCGTACGGGAGTTAAATGACATCAAATCCAAACTCGATGGTCTTGCTCGGAAAGATGTACTGAGTAGCTACCGTTTTCTAAAAGAAGGCGTTGACTTACTCAGTGTTGCTCTTGATATATCAAACGACAAAGAGAACGATGAAGAAACTTCAAGCGTGTCAAATGCTGTCGGGTCTGGCATCTTGAATGATGCGTTGGAACTTTCTAGCGCTGTACGAAAACTAAAATTTAACTCTGATAAGGAGTTTAAATCGGCTAGGAAAAGATTCGAAGACGCACGCAAGGCGGCAACCCATGCTTTCTGTAACGAATCTTTGAGTATCAAGGACAAAATTTTCGCCGCTAAACTTCGAGTCGCTTCTGAGATATTGGAATGTCTTGAAACTCCCGATTCTGCTATCACAGGGTGTCTGTCCTTTCTCCACGATCTGCACAGCTTACCAGCAATCCGTGAGATATTCTCGGTGTATCTTAACGGTGGAATCAAGTCGCGGTTAAACCGGGCGGAACGAATGGAGAATGTGAGATCTGTTATGATGATCAACTATGTCCTGTACCAATTCAGTTTCAAATTCTGCCAAAAACGTACTCAAAAGGCAATTTGGCCGATGGAAATTAACCTTGTCTACCGCAGTTTTAATCCGATTTTAAATTGGCAAGAAATATCGTCAAGAAAGTCTTGGGGTGAAGAAATGTTGCAACCGCGCAATGAACTGTTACTTCCTGAGAAAGTATTTCCATATCATTCCGCTTTGAACGGCCGTGAAGAAATTATCGCTGTATCTGCGATTTCTCCTGTTGATGTCAAAGTGTTTTCCAAAACAGGCGAAAGTAAATCACTGATATTGCCAACAGACACCAAAAAGGATGGTAGAGTAATCGAACATGATATTGTCGGTCTTGCTGTTGATAACCACAACAACCTCTACATCGTTAAACGCCTCGAAACACGAGATAAAAATGGTGATGTGAAAAGTTATATGCTAAGTACGCTTGATGAGGAGTACAATTTAAAGCACCAGTGCATGTTGGATTTTCTCCAGGTAACTGGCTATGGGATGAGCGTGGAAATGAACAACAACGATGATATCGTCATATTAAAACACGATGAACCTTACGTATACGTATGTGACAGCAATGGGCATTTAAAATACAAGTTCCAACGTGATTTAGGTCGAGGAGCTAGGATAAAGTTGGCCATCATTGACAATAACGATGTAGCGATATCGTCAGGCGATAATATATACATATATGCAGAAAGAGGGAATTTGAAGTCAACAATAACTTTACCTTACGGGAACAGAGTTACAGGACTTGCATTTCAACCCATCATTTGTAAGTTGGTTGTTTTTGCATATAACTTTGAAAAGGATTCGAATTTCCTTTTTTGCTATTCCGAAACATGTGAGCTGGAGACTAAGACATTCTTTAGTAAAAACATTTTGGGAAGATTACGCCCAAACATCGTATCTCATCCAGGTGTTCCAATAGCCGTTGTTATGGAGAGAAGAATCGTTTACGTATAGGACGATACCTTCAATCATTTTCAAAAATATTTGGGACACTAACTATTCTTAACTAAAATCTACTATATGATGATTGTCATACCCCCAATCAATGTTGGTTTTCAAATCGAAACACGTTTCCGAACAAAACGTCCGTCTATTTTCTTAATTTATATCAGTGTAATTAGCGGAATATTTTGTAATTATTCAAATAGTACAATTCCAATATGCTTTATTACTACAACAAGAGAGATGATAAATAACACTAGAGGGGGCATCGAAGAGAAATTGGGGAGCGCGTTAGGGGCTGTTTACATGAGCCCGGTTACCCGAGATTCAACGAAGCGTTAGATGATTTTGAGGTATTGAAATGAGCAGATAACATGATCCTGGCAGTCGTATAATCACCACAACAATAGCATGTGCTTGTTTGGTGTCATAAAGACTTATTTCAACAATGTTTTCCTGAAAAACCGGCAAAGCGTCCTAAAGGGAATATAAGTTTTTTTAATATTGGGCTGATTTACGCGATTGCTAAGGGAGGCATTGATATAGCCAATAGGCGCTAGGCTTATGTTTCCGATATCGATGCCCCCGCTACAATATTATCCGTTAATTCTAGGTGACGAGAATTTTAAGTTCTTCGAAAAGGATAAAGTCAAATAAAGAACAATAGGTTTTCGACATATGATGCGTTGGTGTAGTGGTTAAGACCTTGGTCTCTCAATCCCAAGGCAAATGTTTCAAGTCCTGGCAATGTAAAAAAAATTCGGTATGATTTGTAAGCTTCAAAAAGATAAGACTTAAGAGAATTTGGAAGTGAAAAAAAAATTGATCTTCACTTCAAAAAAGTTCTTAAGTAAAAAAAATTCAAAACATGTGCCTCCTAAAAAGACTGAAACTTTGAAAAATGTCCGACAGAAAATTCGGAATTTAAAAAAGTTTTTAAAAACTCATTTTTACTTACCTTAATAATTTTTTTCACAAAAATTTGACAGGATAATTTTCTCGATCCTTTTTTGAAATTCTCTTAAATTTTTTTTTGGGAGTATTTTGTCTTAGCCAGGTTTGTACACAGTGGCCCAAGACAATTTTAAACATTTTTCCCCTCCCTATAAAACAGACAAACTGACAGAGTACTTGTGTGATTCTAGAAGAACTATGCATGTACACGGCGAATATGTTAGACGAAACGGAATCGCGCCTTAAGAAA